AAGACAGCAAAGGCAGGATGTGCCAAGCTAGGTAGCCTTGAGCTGTACTTTAATTAGAGGACACGTCCCTTCAAAATGGTGTCCTGGCTAATTGGGCCAGATTCTTCATATTTGGGGACACAATGCTATAAATAAAAGCTGCCCATTGATGCATAATGGCCCGTCTGCTCTCTAGCATCCAACACGCTGCTTTCGTCTTAACCTTCCCCTGCACAAAAGTAGCACCACCACATCAGTCAGCCACCCACTGGCCCGTGAAGGGAGGCAGGCTGGGAGCTCTGCACAAAAGCCTCACAGAAAGACATCAGACCATATCACCATCGCCAGTGCACTCAGGTGAAATAACAAGCCACAATGTCCTTTTCCCCTTTTGCCTTTGAATGTAAAAACAGACCAATACCCTGCACACAGTGCTAAGTTTTCTAGACAGGCCTATAGTGTTACTGTCTGTAATTTTCCATGGGCCTCCTCGGGTTACCATACATATTAATACACATACCAGCATTTGAAGAAAAGAAAATAGGAGGAGTGCTTGGTGATTATTTTTAATTGAATTCATCTGGGAATTTTAAATCCTGAAAATCTGGCCCCTGTTTACAGTCATTTGAAGGCTTGAACAGTATATGATTTTGTCCTTTTGAATGGCAAATCTCCCTTTTCCATTTAAAGAGAAAGTTTCGGCAGTGTGTAATACATTTCAGAGCCAACTGTAAAAATCATTAACTTATAAAGCTATGGGATGGGCCAGCGGTAACAACGTTCAACCCTTCACGTTCCTTTGAAGGGAATCTAGTCTTTATAGCTTCCTCCTCAAAAAAAGGAGCTCTGTAAAGATGACACTTGAGCCACCACCGTTCAATTGTGTCAGGATCATGGTGACCCAGGAACCAAAGAGCAGCTGAATGGAAGAATTCTGCGGGCATTTGAAACTAGATCTCGTTTCTCTGACTCTTGGCAAGCCATTCTGACCATGAGCAAGGCTCTGTGGTAAGGTACACAGACCATCACTTCTGAACATGACATCACTTTCACAGGTGGTTTGAAACATCTCCAGTCTGTTCTCTGAAGACCCATGGGATTCTCCACACTGGCCAGTCAAGCATCAGGTGCCCCAAGTCTCCCTTCCAGCCAGTCAAATCGGAATTTATTCTCCTAGAGAAACCCAGTGAGTTAAGAGCTTGAGCAGGANAATAATAATAATAATAATAAATAAGTAGAAACGCCGGAGACCATGAAAACTTGTCTCCTGACAGTCTTTGCTGGCTACCTGGTCTGGTGCTCACACCATGCGCCTACCATGCCCTGTACAAACTCTGCCTTAGGAAATATGAATACACATTGTAGTGACCTATTAAATTTTCTTTGGCCACTATTAGCCTGGGTACTCTCTGACATTAGGGGCGATCTTTTACATTTATCTACCAGACATGCAGTAAGTACAAATAAATGAATGAGTTGATTAATACTAGGAATTTTGATAGCCATGGTTTGGGGGTAATCAAACAATAACAACAAGTGGATGACACTTACTGACTGCTTACTTTTGTGTTCTAGGTGCTGTGCGGTGGTTTTTTTTACCAGGATTATTTTACTTTATCCTCCCAACAACACTGTATAGAAGGTACGTTTATTAACCCCAGTGTACACATGGGGAAGCTAAGGCTTGGAGCAGTTAAAGAATTCAATCAAATTCACCCAGCTCATAAGCAATAGAACTGCACTTTGAACTCAATCTGCCTGTGCCCAAGCCCTCAGCTATCGGACTGAAGTGCCTCTCCTACCAGGGGGCATGTGGTTGGGGTATTTGTGGAGGTCAGGGAAGAAGGAAGGAGACACCCTGCCTGTCTTTTTGTGTTTACAAGGGTGGAGGCAGAAGCCTCCATGTCACCATCACCCACTTCCTAGTGTGACTCACAGCCCATCAGCAGTGTCAAATGGACACGGACACTCAGCTCCCTCCGGAACGTCACACCTCCCTAATCTGGTCTTGGGAACAGCCAGGAATGCAACACTGACCTTTCTCCCTGAAAAC